CAAACTGTCTATTATATCGCCCTACCCCTAAACCTACAGCTTACAGGAAACTTTCTGCATTTTTACAATTAAAAAAAAAACATTGTTTACTTTATTTTTATACCAGTTTTATAAATGAGGACGTCCCCAAAGGGAGGTTTTTGGAGCTATTCTAATTCTAATTTCTATTATAATTTAAAATAATTTAAGTAAAATGATTAAAAAATTCAAAAGAATAGCATTTTTTAAACCATCAAAAGAACATATTTGGTAACATTACATTACATTTGTAACATTTACTGTCATTAAGTTTAATCCTTGCTAAATAAAAATATTTTCTTTAAACTGACCCCAAATATATATTATCAACATTAAAAAACTGAGCAAAAAAAAAGAAGCACATGTTGACACTAGGAGTTGAATTCAGAGTCATGAAGCATGAAAGGGAAAGGACAGGGGCCAGACGCAGGGCTGCGTTTGGACAAGCTGTGTAAGAAAAAGGTCAGGATTAGTCAGAGGGAAAACACGAAAGAAAAACAAATGACAAGTAACGAGAGAAGAATGGAGAGTGATTTGGCTGGGGTAACAACAAGTAAAACAGTTGCATATGTGTGTGTGTGTTTGTGTGTATCAGGAGTCGGGGGTGGACAAGGAGGATGTATCAGTGTCAGTGGGCGGGTTGGGATTACTTTGAGTTGGCGGGGGTCAGACCACTGACCCTGCTGGTGTATGTTGAACATAAACATGGACAGGACAGAACCCCAGCAGATAATTAGCATGCAGTTGATGTTTCAGGAGCTGGGGGAGCTGGGTAATCACAAGCGGAGTTGAGTTTGATAACCGAGCCTGCAGTGTATAAAACGCACCCCTCACTCGTGGCCCCCAGCGGATCGATACAACACTCCTCACTTCGATTTAACATGAATCTATCTATCTGTATGTAAGTATGTATGTATGTGTCTATAATGTTTTGTTTCGTGCACCATCTTTTATTATAGATTTTTAATTATTTTTATTTTTTCAATAATTTTATTTTACAGTGCATCATGGGATTCCTTCTCTTCAAACTAATTATGCAATGCTATCTTGGAGGGTCCTCATAATTTAAAGAGCATAAATATATATTTTGGGTATATTTTGTTTTGTCCAACATATTTAATTCTATATTTTATGCAACACTACTATAGAATTTGGAGACCCGATAATTTAATAAGCATAAATATTTATTTAGGGTAAAACAGTTTTTTAAAAATGATTTTAAATGAATAATTACTTATATATATATATATATTTTTTTTACAATTATTAATTATATTTTATACCTCATAAAAGCCACCGGATGACAGCACACCTGATGGGGAGGATGTGTAACACTTAATGTATATATGCAATGCTAACTTTGACATCTTAGCAAGTCATTGTCCTCTTGAAATATATCTGCATCATAAATGTGCCTATGATTCTTTAAAATGTTGCCTACAGAGCTTTTGGTACAGAGCGACATTTGACATGTTTTGTGCGTATGTGTTTTACTGTTGAATTTGTGTGACAGTGAGATCAATCCATATAATTGTTCTTTGGAGTCTGAAAAGTTCACATGCAAATCTCCATCCCCTTTTATTTTCCTCTGTTCTCTCTCTCTGTGCTGAGGCCTTGAGTCTTTATGAGGTGGAGAGCCATGGAGCGTCGAGTTGGCCTGCTGTCTGTCATAAAGCAGCAATGTCCCACAAATACCACTACACAAATAAACATTCAAAACATAACTGTCCAAATATGGTTAAGCTTACAACTGCACAGATCCTTGAATCTGCTACATGTATTTGTTTTGCATCAGTTGGGAAATATTTCTGGCACTTACATTTATAATTATCCAGACAATACAAAACAAGCATTTATATGATAATAAAATAACTATCAATGTTATTTTATCAATGAGTCAATGTTTTTTTGTTATAAAATAGTGGAAACTGTACAACAGCCTACTGGCAATTCCATTCACTAAATCAAGCATCACTATTATTATTGCTCATACTTAGGGTTACGGTTTTGATGATACCTCAAATCATGCAGCTTTTTACTCCTCTAAGTGATCAGATTTACAATTTTCAGTGATAATTGGGTCTATTTATCAATAATTATATTGGCCACTTACATCGTCTTCTTTTGACAAAGCATTCCCTCTTATCAGAAGTCGTAGGGCACGGGCTTCCCATTGGAGAGGGATTCTGTAGGACCTTCCTGATCCTTGTTTCTTCGCCCCATTTGAAGCCGCAGGTTTTACCTGAGTGTGAGCAGGGGCCCCATTCGCTCCACTCGCCCACTTCACAGTGCACTAAAACACAGTTAACAAGTTAGTGAAGCCACACACATACAGCACTGTGTCTTGACAGCAGGTGTTATGTTAGAGACTAACCTGTTGGGATGCACTCCATTAAGTCATTGGGCTCAAACTCGTCTGGGCAGACGTGATGACATTGCCCATGCAGTAGGTAGTGTCCCAGCGCACACCTCGTACACGTGTCACTGTTCTGACAGGAGTCGCAGTCCGCAGGACATGCTGTAAAACCATCACACACACACACGCACACGCACGCACGCACGCACGCACGCACGCACACACACACACCACACACACACACACACACACACACACACACACACACACACACACACACAGTTAGCTTCACTAGAAGTACTGCGGAGTAACTAACTGGACAACATTTTTCAGTCTGCTCTCAACATTTGAAAATAACACTACTGAAAAAGGGTACAAAAGTTGTCACTGGTGCGGTACCTTTTCAAAAGGTAATAAAACATACAATTTAGGAATCAATATGTACTTTTAAGGTACTAATATGCACTCTGTAGGGGTAATTAGGGTGGGACAGCTTTTGTTCTGAGAGTGTTCTGCTATTTTCATTATAGTGTAGCTTTTAACAAACTACTTTTTCCAAACTACTTTGCAAAGTCTGAATTATTCTAGTAACAATCATCTATCTAATATGCAGTGAATCAGTTAATTTAGATGGCCATCTGTCTAATATGTAGCAGTGGAAAGTTATATTCATTCTAATAAGTCAGTTCATTAAGATGGTCCTCTATCTAATTTGTAGCTTTTGAAAGTCTGATTCATTTTAATGAATCTGTTCATTCAGACGGCACTTTCTCTAATGTGTAGCTTTTAATATTTTGATTCATTTTAGTAAATTTGTTCATTTGAATGATCCTCTCTCTAATATGTAGCTTTTGAAAGTCTTATTCATCTTAATGAATCGGTTAATTTTGGATGGTCCTCTCTTTAATATGTTGCTTTCAATCATTTGATTAATACTAGTGAATTGGTTCATTCGGAAGGATCCTCTCTCTCATATGTAGTTTTCCAAGTCAGATTTATTGTAGTAAATCGGGACAATCCTTTCTTGAATATGTCGATTTTGAAAGTCTGATTCATATAAGTGAATCACTTTATTCAGATGGTCCTCTCTCTAATTCAGATGGTCTTCATTCTAGTGAACTGGTTCATTCAGACGATTCTCTCTGTCATATATGGCTTTTGAGTCTGATTCATTCTAATGAATTGGTTCATTCGGATTGTCCATTTAAATAAACTGATTAACAAAAAACGATTTACCAATTCATATCCCTGTACTATGTACTATATTTTCACCTCAGTTGTGTAAATGAGGTTTTCATTAGATTTACTATACCTTTATCTGTTCGAGCTTAATTCCATCACCATAATTACGTTTGTTCATGCAAAACCCCTAATTGTTTTTGTGCTATTAAATACAGCTCGAATTAAATGATAAATTATATCACAAAGATATTTTATAATATATTACCCTTTACAATTAGTACCTTCAATGTATTTAGCTACTCTTTGTTTGTAGCTTGTAGTGTAACTAACTACTTTTGAAAAAACAGCCCAGGTAAAAAAAAAAAAAGCACTATTAAATGTATTAAAACGTACTTGAAATTCATATAGTATATTTATAATACAATTGTACTCCTAACATGCTTACTTGAAGTGCATTAAAATGTATTGAATTTCATTTTAATATATTTTTAAAAAGTAAACGAAGTATGTTGGTAATAAATATATGCTTAGTTACGCTTTTAAGAAATATGCTAAAACACAAGTATACTTTTTGTGACATTTTAATGTATTTACAGAAAACATACTTATTTTACTCTTACTTAAAGTATGAGGATTTAGTCCAAGCTTTGAAATCTAAACTGGTGGTCGGCCACATAAAAAGGATGCTAAAAACTAGTCCATCATATCTATGACTGTAAACTGGGCACTCACCAGGGACACACTCTTTCTTGGTATCGCTGACACTCCAATCTGCCTCATCCCGTCCCTCTCCAGGTGAATAAAAAGCTTGGGTTTGCAGGTCAGACAGCCATTGTAAACCGAACAGGTCTGACAGCCTCCCTGGCATCCCTGGGAGCTGACCCCTGAACCCTCTGTGGTAGAAACATCAATTTTACTTTAGGATCAAACAACATGTGTGCTCAAAAAATTATGTATGCAAATGTAAAGATCTGAAAAGTGTAATGGATATATGGGTGACCATATGTCCTCTTTTTCCTAGGCATGTCCTGGCTGGGATTTCTAAGTTGCCTAAAATGTTTGGGTTTTGGCTTTGCTTTGCTTTGTGGTCTGTTGTCGTGGAATAATATATTTCAGATAAACCCGCTGATAAATGGCATGTAAAAACAAACTTCACATTGTGTTTTGCGGTACTCATACTGTATGTGCAATGCCAACTGAATACGAAAACTCCCTTCTCATCATTTCCTGTCCTCTGCACACTTCCTCTGAATAAAAATGGCTGAATATACATGCAAAAAATGTAATTTCACTAAACAGTTTCACATTTCAAAAAATATATAATGCCTTAATATAATGTGTAGCAATCCAAATTTCTGCAAAGGCTAGAAAACCGAACTGAAAGCCTTGCTTCTTCTGCCAGCAGCTAGTTACAAAAAACATACTTGGCATTTACTTGGACATTCTCAACATTTATAAGAACAAACAGGAATGGTGGGTACAACTAAATGATTCCAGCTTCTCCAAGGAAAGAACAGAGCCATCAATTAAGACTACAACAGTGACCATAATGTAGTGTAATAATAAACACGACAGGAAGCACAGTCATCTGTGGATTCTCCTGGCAGAGAAACTAATCAACAGGGACACGTTGCATACCGGGGTTTGCACGCAAACAGCAGCACAGTAGCCTTTATGTTCATAAGCACGCAAACAGAGTGGCCTCACTGTGACAAAAACCCAGACGGAATCAACTAGTCTCCACTGGAGACCTCCAGCTGCAAATACATGCTGAAATGGCCCACCACAAATGCATGACGAAGAGGTTTCTCAATGTCCCAGTGACATATTTAGAAAACACCCTCACTTACAAATCCCTTAAGATAAGATTTACCTTTAAATTATAGAGCTGACTGCTAACCTGACAACCTTCTGGACAGAGCAACTCGAAACAAAATGAGACAATATTTCTGAGAAATAGGCCTGACTGTATTCAAGGAGTTTTGAGAGAATGTTTTCTTCAGTTTATTGCTCAAGGGGTTGTGAATAATATCTATGCACGATGGCCTTGTTGTTTTGGCTTGGGAACTGAAGAAGTCAAAAGTGATTGAGTTTACAGTTACTGTGAGAAGAACAGATGTTCACTGATCTAATCGCATCATACTGTAAAGTACAGTGCAGTACCTTACTAAATTCGGCAGGGTAAAAAAATGGAAGGTGCTCCTCAGCTGCTTCAAGGTGCATCTTTGATTGAAGTCGATCGCTTCCAGGTGTTTCTCAAAGGTCAGTCTCAAATGGTTAAAGGCTCTGCATTTTAGAAGAGACTTACCCGGTCTCAGAGCATCTGGATGAGGGTGAGGTAGGGTAAAATGAAGATTGGTCTAGCTCAACTTCAGAGAGGTTTAAAAAATAGCTTCTACTTTCAGTTTTATTCAATTTGAAATGATATGGCTTGAAAGGATGTTACATATTGAGGATTTTTACAACCATCCACAAACCTGAACAATAAGGCAGCAGTTTAAAAAGTACAGGAAACGAGGATCCCTAACATCACTGTAACACACAGACTTACAAAGTGTCTTTTTACCATTTTGACCCACTATGCAATATTATAAGAGACAGCAATGTTCAAAATATATATAGACACACTAGCATATAAATGTTTGGGGTCGGTAAGATTTTTTAAATATTTTTTGAAAAAGTCTCTTAGGTTCACCAAGGCTGCATTTAGTTGAAAAAAAAAATGCAGTAAAAACAGTAATATTATGAAATATTATTACAATTTAGAATAAATGTTCTATTTTAATATATATTCAAATGTAATGTATTCCTGTAATGTCAAAACTGAATTTCCAGCAGCAATTACTCCAGTCTTCAGTGTCACATGATCCTTCAGAAATCATATACATGTTTTCACTATTACTTTTGATCAATTTAATGCATCCTTATTGAATACAAGCCAAAATAGACAGACAGATAGACAGACAGACAGACAAACAGACAAATAGATGTTTTCAACCTGCTCTTACATTCCATACTACTCAAGTCGGTCTAGGGCATCGTTGTTGTTTTTTTCTGTCTCCCTCCCCTGATTCCCAGAGTTCACTCTTGGCCGCCAGATTGCCATAGATCAAGGATATTCTGTTTGACATATCTAAGCAATCTTTACAACTGCTGTCCATTTGCCCACATGTGTTCCTGCCAAAGCTCTCTAATTCACAGAACCCTGTACACGGAGGAATTCTGCCTGCCCTTGCGCTGCCACAGCCCTTGGGTCGGCTTGCATAACAACCACACGAGCACTCCTGAAATCCGAACGTTCAAAATCGCTTCCCCATGGTTCAAACTCGAAGACCGCAAAAGCAAGCATTCCCAGAATCTATCAGTAAAGCAGTAGTTAAAACTTAATTAAATAACAAAATGTCAGACATCGACATTAAACAAAAGCATTTACTTATTGCCCAAAGACTTGTGGTTTGAGTCAGTGAAGCAGGCCCAAACAATTAATTTCCTGGGGTATTAACAACATGGGGAGGCCACACAAGCAAATACAATTCACTAAAAAACACAGCCATGGCTTTATTCACAAGGAAGTTAGTTACCACATACTGTCATTAGCATTACTCATAAGGCTTCTTTTTGTGGTGACCTCACTTTTTATGTCCTCTGTGACCTAGTACACTCAAATAGAGTATATACTACAAATACAGTAACATTACAAATAAAGCACTCTTTTAAAATAGTCATATGCAAAGAAAATATTCAGATGTTATAAGTATCAGATGTTACAAATTCTTTGGCATTTAAAAGGTGTCTATTTTACATGCAAATCAAAGCCGTGTAGCTTTTACTTGTCAAAGCGGAGACACAGAGACGCACACACAGAAGACAGGAAATGTTTGAGGTCAGGCGACCGTTTGGTCACTCTCTGTGAACTGATAAATTAGTTATAGGTCATTCACCCAAGTTTCTGTCCATCACAAACGTTTCAAAGTCTCTTAATTAAAAAAAAAAAAAAATTTCTCTCTCTTTATTTATTCCTTCTCTTTCTAGCTTGTACTTATTTGAACAATGTCTAGAAACTTGGTATTACAAGCACTTCCTGTATCTGTTTGCCTCTTTAAGAAGAATCGCTTTATGTATCCCCAAATTGTAAGTCGCTTTGGATAAAAGCGTCTGCAAAATGACTAAATGTAAATGTAATTAGCAGCATCTGATGATGGCTGGTGCATACAAATGGATGAAGGTCATCACGTTTTTCACACTTCATTGTCAGTGTCTGCCACCATTCACACACCACCAGCATAGATTTGACCATATTCATAACCCTGCTCACCCATATCTATTAAAAGCATCTCTTTGAAATATTTTGAAATATGTGAATTGTTAAAAAAATATGCTGAAATGAATGAAATATTTCTGCTCTTTAAGGATAACCCAAATCGTTCCCTCTTTAAATTCAAAATAACAGTTGTGTACTGAACTAACTAGCTGTCAAAGTCTGATTAGACACATATTTTTCTTATATGCCACATGACAGCACATAATTAGTATGCTGAAGACAATGTCCTGACCACAGTCCACAATCCAGGTTTTATAAAGAAAAGATGGATAAGGGTTTTGTATTTTGAATTCCATAATATCAGAGTTGAAACAACCCAGTGAGTGCCACAAAGCCACAATGGCATTTTTGCGGCTCCCTGATACCAAAAGCTATTCTGTTGCATCTAATTGGCTTTGTCACCATCTAATTTGGACCATGTTTATGCATTCATTCTAATCGAGCCTTTCGAGTCCTATTTGCTTACCTTGCTTGTTAAAATAAAAATCATACTCAATTACACAGTTCTGGAGCTTGTCATGCATGAATTGCTTATTTCAGAGCAATTCAGAGTTTATCTCTCTGTAAACCAACAATATTCATATAAACACTTCCATCTAGGGCCATAACCACCATAGACAGCGAGGGGGACATGACCCCCAAATTACACATGGTCCCCTTACAATCCTGAGTATTTGGTTATAGCCTCGCCTTCATCAGTAATACATCTGATTAAAATGGTCTTTTGAAAATGTAATTTTCATATGTCGTACTGTCATATCTCTGACTGTCATTGTTAAGTGTTATATTAGGTCAGATTTGTTACAATCGTTTAAATCAAGTTCGGATTGTTTTATTGTGCTAAAAAACGCAAAAAAAAAAAAGGTATTTTGAACGAAATGAGGAATTTCTTATCATGTAACCTTTAACTAAATCTATGTAACTTTTTAACATGTACAAATATTTTATGTGCTCAGTTCAACTATAAAGATGGTCCTGGACGGGGTGAGAGAGGTTCGGGCCATGAACTGTAAAACCAAAAACAACACTTTTTTTTTCCCTAGGATATACTCGACTCTGTTGCAAACTGGAAGAAAACAGGAAACTCGCTGTGCTTCTGTTAGTACTGAACTAACTTACTGATATCTCCGCGAGCAGCAACAGTCAACAAACGGACCAAGCGCACTACAAAGGGTTTACTGCGTAATGTAGTGGCCGCTAGAGAGCGATCCAAACAAGACATTGGACTGGCCATTTGATGCTATAGACGAGCAGTGCACAACGAATGCACAGGCTAATAATGGTGTGCAAATTCATACTTTCATGTTCGCACTGATCACAACAAAAATAGCACGAGACAGTGAAGCAAAATACGACTAAAACTTTACTCGTTAATGAAAGGTACGTTAACATAAGAACCGTAACGTAACCTAAAACAAAATTTAAATGACAAAA